AGACATCCTAACTTCTTTACTATATTACAAAACTTGACACCGTACACTTGCGGTTTAAAAATCACGTTGCATAAATCGCGTGGAAAGTTTTTTGCGTCATTGCTGGGGATTGATTTATTTGAATTCAATTGATATTATTACCAATTAGCTTTCATTTTACTTTAGATTTTTATTTCTATCGTAATTTTTATTTTTATTTTATTCTTTTTTGTGTCTATCTTTAAGAGTTCCCTTTTGGTTATTTTCAGCTGTTTATGCGAAGGACGAGAAATCTAGACCTACTACCTATTGATCTTGAACCAGAACGCACATTTCACATTCTCAGAGGCATACAAAGAAATGAACGAGAAGCAATGGCAGAACAGGATGCTAGAGCAGCCAATGAGGATAACCAACAAAGGGCTATTCGGGACTACATAAGGCCGGTTGTCAATGACAACTATTCTGGCATCGCACGCCCAGCAATTGCTGCAAACAATTTCGAACTGAAGCCAGGACTTATACACATGGTGCAGCAGAATCAGTTTGGGGGAGCTCCAACAGAAGAACCAAATACTCATTTGGGGTCCTTTCTGGAGATCTGTGATACAGTGAAATGAATGGCATTATTGAAGATGCAATCCGACTCCGCCTATTTTCCTTTTCCCTAAGACACAAAGCCAAGGCATGTTTCCAATCATTGCCGTATGGATCCATCACAACTTGGGGAGGGGTTAGCGAAGAAGTTTCTTACAAAATTCTTTCCGCCTTCGAAGGCAGCACAATTACGGAGTGAAATTGGACAGTTTCGACAATTAGACTTTGAACCATTCTATGAGGCATGGGAGAGATATAAAGATCTATTCAGAAGATGTCCTCAGCATGGTTACTCGGATTGGTTGCAGACACAAACCTTCTACAATGGTTTGAATGGTCAGACACGGATAGTGGTAGATTCTGCAGTAGGGGGTGCACTATTATCCAAAACTCCAAATGAGGCTTATGCATTATTGGATGAGATAGCTACTAATAGCTATCAATGGCCGAGTGAGCGTTCAAGTGCAAAGAAAGTTGCTGGCCTTTATGAAGTAGATCCTATAACCGTCCTTGCAGCTCAAATGTCATCTCTCACTAATCAAATAGTTGCATTAACTTCACATGGATCACAGAAGAAATCAGAATCTATTATGGCTACATCCACTGCATACCAAAAAGTTGAAAGGGAGAATGAACAACTTCAGTATGTGAATGATCGAAATTTCAATCAAAAGGGAAACTACTCAGGAAACAACTACTATCAGGGGTTCAATAATCAAGCGTTTGGGCGAATGCCATCACTGGAAGATATTTTAGGAACCTTCATTTCGGAGACCATATCGAGGTTCTACAAAGATGAGGCAAGACTTGACAGCATTGAAACACATATGACCAACTTGGGAGCTACAGTTAAGAATTTGGAAGTACAGATTGGTCAGATAGCAACTGCAATACAGTCTCAACAAAAAGGACAATTTCCCAGTGACATAGAGGTTAACCCACGGGAACACTGCAATGCTATCACCCTAAGAAGTGGTAAAGTAGTTGAAGAACGCAAGCTTAGAGAGGCTGGGGTACCTACATCGGATCCCATTCTTGCAAGGGAAAAGCAGATTGAAGGGCAGAAAACTGAGGCAGAGGCAACAAAGAAGATTTATAAGCCTTACTCAATTTCATTTCCGGACAACCCACCTATCTTGAAGCCCCCACTACCATTCCCGCAGAGATATTTGAAGAAGGACTTTGATGAAAAATTCGCAAAGTTTTTGGAGATCTTCAAGAAAATCCACATCAACATTCCCTTTGCAGAAATCTTTGCCCAAATGCCTAACTATACCAAGTTCTTAAAGGAAGTGATGTCAAAGAAGAGAAAGTTGGAGGAATTTGAGACTGTTAAGCTGACAGAGGAGTGTAGTGCCATACTTCAGAAGAAGCTCCCTCACAAATTGAAAGATCTGGGCAGCTTCAACATCCCGTGCAATATTGGTGGTATCACATTTGATAGGGCACTATGTGACCTTGGATCTAGCATAAACTTGATGCCCTTATCAGTGTTCAAAAAGCTGGGTCTTGGAAAATTGAATCCCACAACCCTTACCTTGCAACTGGTGGACAGATCGATCACATATCCCAAAGGCATTATTGAAGATGTGTTGGTGATGGTTGATAAGTTCATCTTTTCGGTGGACTTTGTGGTATTGGACATGGAGGAGGATGAGAAAGTACCAACGATTCTTGGCCGACCTTTCTTGGCTATTGGAAGAGCATTGATTGATGTGCAAGAAGGAAAGTTGACACTACAAGTTAATGAAGAGCAAGTAACTTTCAACATCCATCAAGAAAAGAAAGCACCAGAAAAAGGAAAAGTTGACACTTACAAAATGATCCAATCAGCTGAAGTAATTGCAGAAAACGGAGAAAAAAGGGAATTATTTTATGATCCATTGGTGCAATACATGGAAATTAGTTACTCAACAAGGGATGCATCTACTGATGGTAATGACTCAGAAATGAAGAAAGCAGTGGATTTCATCTTAGCTCAAGAAGCTGACCCACCTGACAAAAAAAAGAGCTATATAAATAGGCGTTTGAAACCTCCAAACATTACCAAACCAAAAGAGGTCTTGAAAGCCATACCAAGGTCAAAATAGCCTAAATTTGTTCACCATCTTACAATGAAGAAGAAAACAAAGCCGAAGATAAAGTTCAGAAACAAGAGAAATGTGCCACTTGAGGATTCACCGTAGGCATTGCGGTTGAGTCAAGCTAG